TTTTTGTAAAAGATCATTGTTATACTAAGAATATGTTGTTTACGAACACCATCAACAATAGTACGTAAAATTTCTGTAAGTTTATACATTAATGATGGACTTGTTCGACTCAATGGTCGAAGACCACAGATGGGAGTTTCTTAAATAAATAAATAAAAAAAAAATTAAATCAAAGCTAAGTAAGTAAAAATAAATACAAACCACCAATGACAATACGATTAAAGCAATTATTTGGAAGATATTTTAATTTTTGAAGCATTGTCGATATAAGTGTATATGTCATCATTGGAAGTAAAACAAGTTGTCTTGTTCCATCTGTTTGAATAATTGATTCTTTTCCATCGATTGTTAATGATTGATTATAAAGATTTTGCCACTAGAAAAATAGTGAGAACAAATAATTCATCAAATTTGTAAAAAAAAAAAAAAAGGGCGATTATATTTACTAATTTTAACTCCTCAGAAAGAAGTGGATAGTTTTCGGTCATGATTCAATGTTCGATTAGACGAAGAACAGTTAGAAATGATAAGTTTAAACTGACTATACACAACTATCAAAAAAGAGAATAGAATATGTTATATACGGTCGACTATTTTCTTATGTTTAGTCAGAAAATTGTTTTCGCTTAACTATGCATGGCATTTCTTTGTAATTGATTTAGTTGTATTTTTATTTAGCAAGTAACATCAATCTTATGATGATACACGTGGTTCTATAAACTAATAAATGCATGTACAAAAGGGGTAGACAACTGAAAATGATAGCCTGGAAAATATATTACAAATGATCATAGAAATTAATTTCGACAATCAACATGTGACATGAATATTTTCTTCTGTTTTCTTACTATTTTTTTTTTTCTTTTATAAGTATAATTAGTGCTAATAAATTTGTGTTACTCTCTAAATATATAGCTAAGCATTCTTTGCACTAAAGAAAAATATGTATCATTGTAGAGTTCATCAAGTATGACTTTGGTTTATTATAATAATATGCTCATGGTGATTGATCAATCTTAATTTATTTATAAATCACATGCTTATTCATATAGCCATTGAATTGTTAATCAAACCATACTGAATATTTTAATCAGTTGTAGCTGCTTTAGTCATGCTATGCTGTCGTTTTGAATTATTTCATAGAGAAAAGAAGCAGACACAGTTGTATCATCATTTCTAAATTTTCTCCTTTTACTTTAAAACATCAACAAAAGTTTGTATATTGGTCGTGTATCTTTACTTGCTTATTGAATCATGTTCAAATATTGATTTCGCATAATAAATATTTTATGAGAAACACATCAATAAACAATGATCTTTCTAAGTAATATTCTCAAACAATTTTTAGAAATTCTATTTAATTATCTTGTAGTGATTAAGTAATAAATTTGATCCTTGCACTAATTCATTAAACAATACATTTTTCATTATCCTAACGTTTTTACTTTTTCTTTTTATTTATACAAAAAAAAAAACAAAAAAAAGTGTAAAAAAAAACAAGAAAATTCATATTCGACTAGAATGGCATCATCTTCCATTTTCCTTGTCGTTTATGATATTTAATTAATTCGTATTTATACCAATCTGGTATCCATTTTTCATTAGGTGCTGCTAATGGATATTTTGGTACATTAGGATAACCATTAAATGGACATGTCATTGTTAAATAATGTTTAATAACTTCTTCATTAACATCTTTTCGATCACGATATTGTTCAAGATAACTATGAAATGGTGCTCTTTCAACACTGAATTGTTGTGGAGGTACATATCGTGGTTCAAAATCAAACTCATAACGAGGTTCTTTCATACCTAGATAATCATGCATTAAAAAAGAAATTAAATATAGAAACTAGATTTACCTAGTATATTATGAAATATATTTTTAACACTTGTATCCCATGTAACTTGAAAGAAAGCTAAGCTAATCGGTCGTAAATGCGAACAGAGTTTATTGAAAAAATCAAATGTACGAAAAGTACGTTTTTTCAGACTAACACTAAAAACAAAAAAATAATAATAATATAAACAGATGCTATCCATCCATCAATAACATTTAGTTTTGTATAAGTTAATAAAACACTATTCAAAATTATTTGTAAATCATCTATATCGACTAGAAAACTGCAAATGATTTTCAATATAAATTTACCTATTTTCAGGAAGTGACCCATATAATTCAGAAAAATTGATTGGCCCATTTTTATGTTTATATAATAAAAATACACATCGATGCCATCCACTACCATTAGGAGGAAATGGAGGTAAATATGTACATAGAGTTTCACCTTTATCAATTTGATTATCAGGAATATTCCCTCTTAAAAAATAATATAGATAAATCAAATATAAATTAAATGCATTCATTAACATACACAAACCAATGAAGAACTTCTGCGTCATCTTCTTTTAAATGTCCGTCAAGATTTGTAAATACTAATGTATAATATTCATTTTCTTTATTTGTACTTTTCCATTCCACTTGAGGTTTTTCACTTGCCTAAAAATATTCATGAAAAAAAACAAAGTTTTGTTATTTTTCTTCAAATAACTAATTTACATCTTTTGCATAAAGACGATTTCCACTATAAACAGGTGTCACTTGATCATTACTATAAGGATAATTTATATGTAATGGTATACGAGGAATGAAATAACCATGTTTGAACAAATCATTGAAAAGACCATAATGATCAGCAATCATGCGAAGATTTTCTGAAAAATATTTACTTGATAACCAATCATTATGAACTTCATCGATTGGAAGTCGAACTTAGAAAAAAAAAACAAATAGATAAATAATAAATTGAAAAATATTTGTTGTTTATAATACATACGAGCTCCGTCATAATGTAGTTTTTTTAACTCAGCTCGATTTCGTTGATTAGCATAATGGTCAAAACGTTGACGCGTTTCTGATTTAGAAATCGGATCTATTGGTGACAAAAAACCAATATTTACTTTATCAACACGTATTGGTTGAGGATCAAATTCTTAAATGAAAAAATACAAAGAAAATTTGAAAAATTTAACAATTTATTTTTAAATTTTGTTTTACCATGACGTCGTTCTTCTAATGTTTTTAATTGCATATCTTTTGTATAAACTTCATCATGTGTCACTTCAAATTGTGTTTTATTTCTATATGGAAATCTTTTTCTCCATATAGCTGTCGTATATGGCATTGGATCAGGCATTGGTATAACACGATGATGACGCACACTTTTCAATTGAATGTTCCATGTTAATACTAATATATTTTTCCGTATTATAATAGACATCTGAAATGCAACATGGGATGTTGTGATTGTAGGTTTTTTTATGAAGATGATAAATAATCAAATATCCGTTTATCTAATACTGAATGTTAGACTATAATCAATTGGAAATATAAGAACTTTTCTCACACTTCACAAACTAAATATGGATGGAGTGAAAAAATAGAACAAAAATAATTAGTTTTTAGATGGTTCATCTGGATGTGTATAACGATAATGCGCAATACGTAATAATTGTTGAAGACCAGTTAAACCAAGAGCAAAATTGACTAGACCAAGAAAATAATTTTTCGGTATTATAACCATACAATACTAAAAAAAACGAACAATAGAGAAAGAAAATTATTACAGAAAATCGAATAACAACATACTCGTGACCAGATTAATCCTGTAGCAGCAAGTGAAATTGATTGATTCAATGAAAGTTTATCAGCTGGACGCATTAAATCTCCAAGACCAGCAAGAACTAATGAACTTTTCATAACAGCTAGAAAACAAATACAATCAATATATATAAATTAATCAACATAGAATGAATACTTACGCGACCAAAAATGTACATATTTTGGACCGGCTAGAATCAGATATAAAATAAATAGAATTATTTATAAAAATCAATTTTACCTGGATGTTCCCATTTAACAACCTTTTTCATTGATGGCGATAAAACTCGATCACCAATACCAATGAGCATTCGATATACATCTGATAGAATAAACATAGCTGATCAATCTGAAATTGAGTGCATACTGTGACATTGATAACAAAATAATAAATGAGAAAAAAGAAAATATTTTTATTAAGTATTTCTAAAACTAGTGTGACTAAATATTATTATACAGTTTAGATAAGTGAGTATTGATCAGTGTTAATTGCGAGATTGTCATATTTTTTGTTTTGTCTGAGTTTTCTTTTTTAATTTTTATGTGGTGCATCCGGATGTGTATAGCGATAATGAGCAATACGAGCGACTTGTTGTCCACCAACAAATGCTAAGAAAATATTCACAGCAAAGAGCATATAATTTTTTGGTATAATGACCATTGAATATCGACTCCAAATAGCGCCAGTAGCAAATAAAGAGATCGATTGATTCAATGAAAGTTTATTGGCCGGACGAAGCATATCACCAAAACCAGCTACAACTAATGACCATTTCATTAGTGGAGCCCAAAAATGTATATATTTCATTCCAGCAGGATGATCCCTATTGATTAAAAAATTAAAATGAATCAAATATTATAATTAATAAATATTTATCTACCATTTGACAATCTAAATTCAATATTAAAAAAAAATAAAAACTACATTTCTAATTAAAAAAAATACTCTACTTCAAAATACCTTTTTCATACCCGGTGTTAAGACTCGCTCACCAACACCGATTGCAACACGGTAGAGATCCGAAAGTATAAACATTTTCCTTTATCCTATCTAAATAAGAAAAAAATGTCTTTATTATCATTCTTTCGTTTGTTTTGTTCAGCAATATAGACAGAAATTTTTATAGACAATGCCATGTGATAGACACAATACAATTATAATTCTCAAGATTTTAAATACAATGAAAGAAAAAGAAAAGAATAACACCAAAATATACCGAGTAGAATCCATAAAAACTAACTGAATCTTCTTCAATTATATTCTGTTCTTATTACATCCAATTTACAATGTAACGAAGAAAAAGGACGGTTACGTATGTAAGTACAACATTAAACAGAAAAAAAACAACAAACAAACAAACAAACAAACAAATGACTATCGTAAAAAAACAAACATTAACATATAGATGTATCTCTTATTGGCTTTTCTTTTGAAATAAATTATTGCACTTGTAAAAGATAATGAAAAACAAAACATAAAGATGCACATTATCAAAATGATTCTTCCAAAAGAAAGAACACCGTATATTTCACTTATATATATTAATATAAAAAATATGAATAGAAGTGACAATCACTGTAGTTTTCATTCGACAGGAACACCGAAAAGAAAAAAAGAATAGTAATATTAACTAAAACCAGGTGGCGGTAAACCAACATCTATCAAAAGATGTGTAAATAATGGATAAGCTATTGCAGACGTGAGATTATATCGAGCTGATGACACACCATCCCATGTATAGCGTTTAGCTGCTGAATAAAGTAGTTTTGCTCTAGAAAAAAAAAGCTAATAATTATAAAACATGGTAAGACATCACTTATACATAC